AACAACAACTTGAAGTTTTCTCAATATGAACTGTTGTTGATAAAGTCATTAAATATAATACACAAAGAAGTAGATATTTTGGATAGTTTGCAAAGAGGTTAAGCCTTGTTTTAGGTTTTCTTGAGATGAACTTCCTTTTGCGTTTGGTATCCAAACCAGAAGACTCTGTAAACAGCAAGCAGAAAAAAATTTCAGGAAGTTTGGAGATAAAAAAATATAATAAACTCTTAAAAAACTCTCTTTAGTTGAAAACTCACAAAACCAAAACTTCTCTTACTATTTTGATACTTCCAAAACTAATTTTTGACAAAAAGTGGAAGATTTGGCTATACTTGTCAAAAGATTAGCATTATTTACCACTTTTATATTTATTGACTCTATAACATGAATAAAATAAATATATAGCTACATAGAAAGTAATTTATTCTTTATTTGAGAATATGGTTCTAGTATATTGAGAACTCAGAAGATTTTTAAGAACTTATATATCAATTAGACAAGATAAAACTAAAAAAACACATAAAGTTGATATATTTGTTATACTTTGAAATAGAATATAAATTTAAAGTTGAAGTAATAAAAAGAATTTGTGATATGTAGTCTAATAACAAAGTCATATACATATAATTTTTAAACCTTGGCACAGGTCAAAGTATATTTAGTTTAGTTTTTTTATATATCAGCTAAGTTTTATATAATTACTACGATCATTAGATAAGTATCTTGGTTAGAAATACTAATTTGTTAGATAGATTCTTTAGTTTTATAATTGTATTTTAGATTCTTTTTATTAGTTTAGTTATTTTTTTATTTGTTTTGTTTTAAAATATTCTCTTTTTTATAATTTTCTTTACCCTATTTACTCTTTAGAATTTTTTGCAAGAGAATTTTTCTTTAGATTGGTGATATGTTATATAGAGTAGTGATTCTGACAAGATCAGTAAGCATCTACTACAGACTTTTGGGATATAAATTCTTAGTAAGTTGAGAATCTCAGCTAAGATAAAAATGAACCACTTAGGCAGGTTATATCTGGGTTTTCCTTGCAAAACTTATTTTTTAGATTTTTTTAGATCAAGTAATTCTTTATTTGTACAGGTATAATATAGTATAATAAGTAGATTAGCCTCTACAGAAATATGGCTATTGCTAATTTAAATAATAAAGAAAAGATCATTAAAACAAATAAAAAAAAATAATACAGTTATTTAAATATTGTATTTTATTATTAATAGATAAAATAACTATTAAAATCTTAATATAATTTTAAACTAAGTTAATTTTTGTTTATTAAATTTAATTAACTTAAGACCTTCTATTGATTAGACTTTTTTATTTTTAGATTATTAATATACTATTAAAGTATCATTCTATTAAATTTATTAATAACTAAATACTTTTATAAAATTTAAAATAATTGTTAGTCTAAATATAGAATATCAGTACAAATAATATAAATAACACCACCTATGAGAAAAAAACGAGACCCAGAATGGCGACATGCAAAATATGCAAAAATTTCCAAAATCACAACAGCGATACCACAAAACAACAATACATATTCTAGCAGCAAGACAATAAGTCTACGGACCAAAAAGCGACAATGCGAATTCAGCAACACACATTCTAGCAGCAAGACAACAAGTTTACGATGCCAAAAACGATGACTCCAATGGCACCAAAAGTGAAATGACAACACTGACAACACCAAAAAGTGATGATGCGAATTCAGAAGCGGCACTAAAATGATGAGCCAAGTTTCTATTCAACTGGAAAAAAAAATTATATTAGTACAAGGCTAGAACAAAACAAAAAAACCAATTAAAAAAAAAGATCACTGTTTATATACCC